CGTGAAACATAGTAAAACAGCGAAACATAGCAGGTGCGGAGCAGAACAGGAAGCAGCAAATAAGGTGCTCAAAAACAGAGCCAGAACAGAGAGACAACTAGAGCGGAAACAGAGATGAAATAGGGCGGTGGAAGCTGTAACAAAGTTTGCAAAACAGAACGACAGTGGCTGGATGTTTTCTGGCAACGAATGCCACTAGGCAGCAGCAGGATACGTGCAGAATTTCGGCTATGAAATATAGGCACTACCAGAATTTGGTTGCCTGATAGGAATTGAGAGACGTCTTCTACTGTATATTTTATTTTATCTGCTTAAATATTTGTGTATTTGTAACTAACTAAATTCCCTACAAAAGTACTTGTATGTAGTTAACGTTTTGTACTAATATACTTCAATATTTCTGATACCTTTTTGGACCCATGAAGATATTGTGTCATGCATGAGTGAGCATCTTGAAGACACCCTAAAAGAGGACAGACTTGTTTACTTTTCATATTTGCATAAGTTTATCCTTCTCTAAATGTGTGATTTAACTATTTAAATCCTCCAACATCTTTGGTGCATAGTTAATTTTTTGGCGAGAGCCGTTGGTGATGTATGAAGGTCATGATACCTATTTAATATTTGTGGATTTTATATGCACATGCATCTTTAATTGTATGCTATTTTCATTTAAACCTTGAGGTCTCTAAAAACTTTGGAATGATTTCCTGTTTCTACTGTAATTTTCTCAGTTCTTGCTCATTGTTTATATATATTATCAAAATTTCACAATGATCTAACTTCACCTATGAAACCAGCTCAGTTGTGACATTTTTTTTTTCTTCAGGGTTGAATCCAGAATCAGGTAGTGAGGAGCGTTGCTCGTGGACAAGTTGAGCAGAGAGAACAGCTAAGACAGTGTTCAGCAATGGAGGAGTCTGTGCGAGAAGTGCTTTATGAGACTCGCAATCATGCTTCCATGCCCTACTATTCTAATTACCCTCCTCTTCCTCAGGTCTTTTGATGTCTCTCATCCATTCCCTATGCAGTTCATGTCAAATTTTGTGTTTAACAGTTATCACATCATTTTTCTGACCAATTTAGTTATAATTCTGTGAATTTAGGCAAACAAAGGAGGTGCTAAGGGGGGGTTCTTATCATTTCTTTCAATTCGAGGTCGGTCCTAGTTTTTCTCCCCTTGTAAAAAATTGTGGTTTCATTTGATTGCTTGAGTTCCCCTTTTTCGCTAATTCAAGAAAATAAGCAGTTTTAAGTATGGAAACATGGTATTTTCCTCTAATGTTGCTCAAATTAGTTTGCAAATCCAGAATTTCTGTTCATAAAGTTTATTTTATTGACTGCAAAAACTAATATATTATGCAAG